TTCCTAATTTTTATAATAGAACTATTTTAAGCAACTTATATTTTCTTAAGACTTCTGGTATATATTTAAAGTATTATAAACTGAGTTACTATTTTCATTTGAAACTAGTTACTATTTTCATTTGAAACTAGTTCTGTACATGCCTTTGGCACAGAATGTGATATCTCTTGTTTAGCCCTACGAGGTTAGAGAGGGAGTGTTACATATGGGTTCAACCTCTGAAGGTAATGAAGCAGCCAAAGACTTAGAAGATTTGGTAAGAGAGGTAGAAGTTTGTGTACCTGAAATGGAGAAGTTGATTACCTTGGGTTACTAGAGAAAGTCTGCATAGGCGACGACATATCTAGCAGAGTGAAAGCCACAGATGACATTAGGTGAGGAGCTTGTTATACGTCAACAGTAATAGAGGAGGTGGGTAGGACAAAATGAATAGGAGACCAGGTATCAAGAGTAGAAGATGTGGTGCATTCAGACTTATTATCCAAAGATGAATAAGGAAAACTAGACTCAACAAAATCTACATGTCGGGAGAGATAAAGTTTAGAGGTTGAAGGATCAAAACACTTATAAGCACTTTGATTGGAGAAGTAACCAAGAAACACACATGTTGAGGAGCATGGTTAAAGTTTATAAGCATTATAAGGATGACTCCATGGATAGCAAAGAAATCACAGACACAAAGTTTATTATAGTTAGGTTCGTAACCATGGAGACGAAAGGAAGGAGAGTCGTTATGCAAGACAGAGTTGGGCATTCTGTTGATGAGATAAGCTGCAGTTTGAAAGGCATATGACCAAAAAGATAAAGATAAATTTGCAAGAAGAAGCATGGTCAAACCAGTTTCTACGATATGCCGATGACGACGTTCAGCAGTAGCATTATGTTCAGGAGTGTATGGTGGTGTAAGGAAATGAGAAATCCCATTTTCTTGAAGAAATGATTTAAGATGAATAATCTCACCCCCCTATCAATGTATAACGTTACAATTTGTCTATAAAAATATTTTTCAGTAATTTTCTTAAATGACAGAAAAATTATGGAAACATCAGTTTTTTTTTGTAAAGGAAATAACCATATATATTTGGTAAAATGATCAACAAGAATTAAGTTATAGTGAAAGCCATCAATGAAAGGAATAGGTCCTGGACTCAAACATCAGAATAAATTAATTCTAAAGGAGCTGAACTTTTTATTGATGATTTGGAAAATGGAATTTTGTGCATTTTATTTATTACACTTATAAGAATCACAAAAAAACTTATTATCAATCGAAGACGAAATAGGTAAATCAAGATTCTTGATAATTAGATGCAGGTTAGGAGCAGAGGGATGACCAAGACGTCGATGCCAGACAAAGAAGTGACAGTTGTGTGAGAAATATAAGGTTTAGACAATCTGGACACTGGAATGTCAGGTGGCCACTCATAAACACCATCATTAAGCTTTCCTTCCGCCAGAAGAGTCCCTGTGCAAAAATCCTTCACAGTAAATGAATAAGGGTTAAATGCAACCTCAACATTATTCGTAACACAAAATTGGTAAATAGAGATAAGGTTTTTATTTAAAGCAGGAACATAAAACATGAGACAAATGTAAAGGGCGAGATAAAGAGGACAGAGAGACAGAACCAATATGAGTTATAGGGTGGATGTTACCATCACCAAGCACAACATCTTCAACACCATCATATTCTGAATGCAGAGACAAATTTTGAAGATCTTAAGTAACATGTTGATTGGCACCAAAATTGATTATCCATTTAGAATCGGGAGAAGATGTATTTGTGGCATAATTTACTTGTGGTTGTATTGTAGAAGCTTGATTTGATGTATCAACCAACCATGGACAAAGTTTATGCAATTTCCAGCATGTTTGGTAACATGGCCTAGTTTATATGGTATAGAACCGCGGGAGATCCAATGAGAGGTATGATTTTGACCACGATTTGAGTGTGGGAATGGTGGACGAGGTGATTGTTATCGATAGGACAGAGATATTTTAGTGGAAGGAGGGTCAAATTTGGTGTTGGTGTAGTTCATAGTGATCGGGGAAGAAACAAGATTTGATTCTCTAACAAGGTGTGTTTCAAAATCTATGAGTTTTTCATGAAGTTCTTCAAAGAAGATGGGTGTCTCGCGAGCTCTTAAGGCAACAACAGTCTCTTTGTAATCGAATGGAAGTCCATGAAGGACATAATGAACAATGTCATTCATTGAAATTTGAACAACAACTGAGGTAAAGCAAGGACATTATGGCTTTGATCTGTTGAAGAAAATCTGTAGTAGACATGGTGCCCTTTTTCACAATAAACAAGGATTCTTGCAAACTCATGATACGAGCCTGAGATGGTTTGGCATGAGTGTTGGCTTGGGTTTGCCAGACTTCATATGAGGTTTTTGCTTCAATAACAAAAGAAATAATTTTAGGTGACAAAGAAGCAATAAGAGCACTTCTAATGAGTTGATCTTGTCGAAACCAATATGGATTGGAGGAGAGATCAAATGAAAGTGGTTGGTCAATAAATTTTAGAAAATCATACCCAACCAACAATGAATACCATTGCGTATGCCAAGATTGATAATTTATGGATGTGAGTTAAATTGGTGCTTGAGCAAAGGCATTGATGGATATAAGTTGATTTTCAGTAGGGAGGTTAATATTATTAGATGGTGTTTGAGCAAGTACAGATAAGGGAGAGGAGTCTTTCCATATGCCGGAGGACGATATGACGTCGATAGGTAAACCAGCCATGGAAGGAGAAGGTGAGCACCTAAGGTTTCTGAAAAAAAAAAAAAATGCCGATAGACAAAGATAGACTTTGATACTGTAAGGGACTATTGAAGTAATGGGTAATACACTATTATTCACAATAATAATCAGTATACATATACAAGTAATGTACTTGAGAGAATTACAAAATAAAGAAAGGATATATACAATAAAGTAACAAATAACTAATTACAAGAGAGGGAATAACCTTATCTCAATATAAACTAGTCCAGTTTCCTAATAAGGTTCCTCTTAATTTCTAGTTTGATTTTTTCTATATATATATAAAAAAAAAAAAGAAAACTAAGTGTGCCATTGGCTTTTTCTAAAAGATCTCAATTAAAGGATTTTTATCAATTTAGTTTTTCAAAAATGGGAAACTAAAATTTTGTATAAAATAATAAAAGGTCAATTTTTAAATATTTTTAATATGTTAATTAAAAGATTTTCAATCTATATTTAAATTAGATATTTTTAATTAATATAACTTCTCAATTAAGTTTAAATAACCTACCTGTTATAGGCTGTATAAGAAACTCAACAATGCAAAAAGTTTTCCATGCTATTTACACTCCTTCGGATCATGTAGAAAAGATCCATATTACTATTACTATTTAATATTTACTCTAATGCCATTTAAAAAGCTTCATGCTATGCATTTTTATTAATATATATATTTTTACCTAAGGAAAATATAAACGAATAATCCGAAAACTTACCAAAGTTAATTAATGAAAGAATTAAAGGATTGTCACAAGGGGTAAAAACATAGCGTTAAGAGTTACCTCCACCGCTACTTCTTTCTTTTCATATTAGTTTATATTTTTATATTTACATAAATTTACTCATAAATTTTATTATTTTAACCTTGTGACATCCTTAGCTTTTATTTTGACTCATCAACCACCTCAACTTATAAAATTATACTTATAATGTTTTACTGTTCCAAAAAAATAAAATTACACTTATGAAACACTTTAACTTCAATATAATTTTATTAAATACTTTAACTTGTAAAATTATGAAACACTTTAAACTTCAATATAATTTTTACATTAACATAAATACTTTATACTTGTAAAATTATAATATATAATTATATATTATATATATATATATATATATATTTATATATATATATATGTTGAAGGATAAATAACTGAGTTTAACTTTGAAGAATAAAAGTTATACAGGCAATTAGGGATATATATGTTGAAGGATAAATAACCTGAGTTAACTTTGAAGAATAAAAGTTATACAGGCAATTAGGGATAACGTTCCAAATAAAGTCAGAAGCATGATTATAAGAGTTCCTTGCAAGGGCATGAGCTTCTAAATTCGCTTGTCTTCGAGCCCAAAAAACAAAAGTATTTGGCCTATGAGCTAAAATAACTTTGCAATATTGAATAACTTGATCGGAGTCGGAATCAACGTCGAAGGTGGAACGAAGAGCACAATAAAGATAAACTACAGACATATTAGTTGAAATTTATAAAAATTATTGTTATAAAAATTATGATAATTACACGTCAAATCGATATTTTGCAGTCAAAAATTGAAAACCTAAAAACTATTGCTATTAATCTAGAAAGGTATTCAATATTACTAAAATTTATAAGTTCACGTGCATAATAGATCACAAACAAAGTTCAGGATATATGGAGTGAAAGTTACAAAGTTCAAGAGTGAATTTATATATTCAATCATTTTTATATTGTATTCGATGAGCTATAATAAAATATAACGCATATAATTAATTTTATTGTAAATTTTACACTAAAAATAAATTTTAATTATATTATATTACATTTCACACGTTCACCAAATGGATTTTTTTTGCCTGGACCGAGTCCATAACCCCACTTATGGTCTAAATCAATAAAAATAGAATTTTTTTAAAATTATTCCTAATTTATTCTTTTTTTTTTTTTCTCAATGTATGGTTAGAGATAGCTTGGTTCCGAAAAAATTTCTATTTTCATTGATTTAGTCTACAGATGGAGTTATGAAACGGTATAGGCAAGTTAACCGCTCACCAAATGTATCTAATAAGAGAGAATATTTTCAAATTAATTTAGGCATCATGTTTTAGAATTTACACGAGAAATTAGCTTAACAAAGCGGTACAAATATGCTTTGAATGGCATATTAATCACCGTGTAATAAGATCAATTGGTCAAATTTGATCCAGAAAGCAAACAGAGTAAAAAGCACAATCCTCAAATACATGAGTAAAAGCCTTAAGAAAGAGCAGCATTAGATAATCATTAAAACAAAATTGAGAATTAATCATGAAGAACATGTATATATATATATATATATATATATATATACGCACATGAAGGGAGCCTTCAAATCATTTTTTGAAGTATAGAGATTTCCAAGATGATAAAAAAACTCTACATACAATGAAGCAAAAGCTGAAAAGCTCTGAGTACTGTGTGATAATGTTACTCTTATTTTCTACACTTCCAAGCTGACACAGAAAAAAGAGGCCTATCTTGCCAGCAAATTACCGCACACCCATTTTCTTCCATAATTTTGTAACCATCACAGCCATACCCTTGTAATAACCTTCTTGCTTGCAGCATGCCATGGTAGCTCAAAGGCACATTTCCAAATCCGGCCAAATCAAGCCTCTGAATCCACTTCGCAAGTTTTTCATGCCGTTCCTTTCTTTCAGCTCCTTCGCATGCTATGATGTTCTTTATTTCCTCTCCAAAAAACATTTTCTCCACCTTCAATCTCTCCATGGATGTTCTTGATACGTTGGATTCCAAACAATCAAACAAGGCAGCATAAGAGTATAATGCCTCCAATAGCCTCTCCATGAGAGTCGATCCATTATGATTAGAATCTTGTTCCATTACTACCATCAGTTTTGGTGATAAACTCCGAAGGGTGTTGAGAAAGTAATCCATCTTTGTGGAAGCAGTTGAAGACAGAGGCGATGATAAGGTTGAGTCCAGACTTGGGCTATATCCATTTACCATATCTTTCTCTAGCAACTCCCCTAATGTGTTTTGGTTCATTTGAGAGACTCTTTGCAAGTGAAGTCCATTTGAATTCTTCAATGTCACTGGAGATCTCTTCCTCAATTCATCTTCTGAGGCCAAAAAAGAATGCAATTGGAGAACTGAGCTAATCGCTAAAGCCTCCCCAGTTTTGACACGCAACTTTTCAACATCAAGATTCTCTAATTTGCTGACAATAGGATTGAACTGGAAGGGAATATCCAACCTTTCTGCTTCTTCAATTAGTCTATGTGCCATTTGATCCAATACCTCTTTCTGTTGATGGATCCCTGTAATTCTCAAATGGGGTGGCCCTTCAGGCCGTGCACTTAAACATTGGAAAAGTGCTAGCCATTGGGTAGGATAAGCTGCATTAAGATCAATAACATGAACCATCTTTTCCCCTACCATGGCTTCAATTATAGCTTGGTTCGTAAGCACAAAAGCAACTTTCAGGAAAGGAAACATCTCGAAAAATAACTTGCGAACCAAAATTTCCTCAGAAACCAAACTCATTTTAGTAGCATTAAGGGCCCTGTGTAAACCAGGCCAGGATTTGATAATCCTATGAGCAAGTGCCTCAGTAAAGTAAGCAGCAATTCGCTGCATAGTATCGCCATCAGCAGAGGCTAGATGAGAGATCTGCCCAAGAGCAATCTCTGCATTTTCAAGATTACCAGAAGCTACATGGTTTGCACAAGTGAGCAATAGATGGATCAAATACAACCCTCTCTCCTCTGATTTTAGCTCTCTAAACCATGAATATGGTGAGCCAATGCTAGGTGAAAGTGACATCATTGAAAAAAATTGGAGAGGTGATGATGTCACAGATGATGATCCATCATCTTGAAACATTGATACAGCTAAATTCTTAAAACAATCAATCAAGACAAAAAGATATTGGAACAAAAAGCAAAAAAAGGATAGAAATAGTTCTTCAATGAAAGACCGGATCTAGAAAATTACTTATCTCGGATGCAAGAAACTAAGCAGTCCATAGCCGATCTACAGCAACTGAACAAATATATGTAAAACCCTCAGAAAGAAAAAGCTAAAGCGAGTAATAAGATACTTCGATCAACAAAATTCTAATTTACAAACAACGAACCAAAATAGTGACGCACAGTATTCAATAGTAATCCACTGGACTCTGTAAACTGATCAAAACCTACAAGAAATCTAAAGAAAATTCCAAAGAGTACCGGTTCAATCCACTCCTACGCATAAAGAAATGTTCAGAGATTTTCTGTTTCTCTCTGGTTTCTTCAGAAAGAAAGAGAGAGAGAGTCGGTTGGCTCAATTACAAGCTCTTTCAGAAATTTTGAAAGACCTGTAGTTTGTAAATGGTTACGTTTGTCTGAATTTAGAGACTATGAGGTCTGCTTTTTTGTCGTTTTATGATTTTGTTGTCGTTCTCTCCTCGTCTCTCCGTCCCATCCTCAGAGTGGAATATGGAATTTATGAGAAGATGAGGCTTTTACCTTTTTGGGGCAAACGGTGAGTTAGCTTCATTTTTTCTCTCTGAAAAGCATTGTCTTGTACTCGACTTTCTCTCTCTACAACTACCACTTTTATGGTTTTTTTGTCTTGACATTCGGTGGCTAGAGAATAAAAAATGACCCTGAGAGAGGGCTTTATAATATTCCCAAAGGTCACAAAAGTCCAAACAGGCCCCAACCAAAGACAAAAAAAAAGACCTCAGTTTTGTTTCTTAGTGGAGGGTAAGTGTGGGAATTGCAAGAAAGAAAACAGAAATGGTTTTGTTGTTTAGTTGAAAGGCAATGACCTTACGATTGGTTTATATTAAGACAAACAGACAAGGACGTTAAGGAAACTTCCAAATATTTGATAGTACATTTCTATCCTAGTTGGCGCTTCTGGAAACTTCAGACCTACCAATAACTAATCCCATTCTATTTCAAATAAAAAAATAAAATAAATATACTACTAATCAAAATTTTTATCCTAGCTTTTTATTGTTATTTAATATTTAATCAATCAATTCACTTGCCGTCCCATGTTTTACAAATTTTTTTCTAACAGGAAATAAGATGTAAGAGAAAATCACAGCAAACTGTTATTTCATTTCTTTTAAAGTATAAATCCTTTTAATATGATTATTTTATTTTAAAATATAAATTGTTTTGAATATTTTAAAAAGTAATAAATTCTCATTTTTTTAATTTTACTTTTTTATATTAAATATAATATAATAATATTAGATACCATAATAATATAAGATAAATAATAATTTGCTCAAATTATTTTTAATTTTATTATAATTTAAGAGAATTAAATTTATTTAATTCGTTTGAAAATCTGAAATGATTTATATTTTAAAATAAAAAAAAATAAAAGATATTGTAGAAAGGGGGATAAAATGGATACTATAAATTCACAACATTCAAGCAGATTCAGATTAGATGGAGGTTTTTGGACTCTATATATTGTGAAAAAGCCATGTGTATCAAAGCGGGGTCAAGCAGTATTCGAAGTCCGTAGGCCCCAGCAGCATTTGTCTTTTACCAACATGAGTGGTCCATGTTTTACATCTAGCTCTTCTGTATTATGCATGCATCACCATGATTTTTGTTTTACTTGACTATTCTTGATTTCAAATTGAAACCAACATTTTCTGTCTACAGTTCTGTTTTGATTTCTTTTTTTCTTTTTTTTTTAAACTATAATTACTTGTTCTGGTTTGTAACCAAAAAAAAAAAAGTTTTTAACTATTGAGTGCAATAAAAGTGAATTGGAAATTATTCTCGAGTCCTTTTTTCACAATTGCTTATAAAAATCAAAGAAACTGCCAAATTACGTTTCTGCCATCATTTTTTAAAAATAAACTTTAAGACTTTTTACACTCTTTTTTGTGTTTTTAATATTACTATTTATTATTTTGTTTCATTGTTTATTCATTTTATATAACTAAAAAATTTTAAAAGAGCTTGAATTATATTCTTACCCCTAACAAAAATATCAATGATTTCTCCATCATATACTATTTATATTACAGTCCAATACAAAAAGGTTATAGTGTATAACAGTCAATACAAAAAGGCTACAGTCCAATACAATTCGTGGCATTATTTATAATTTAAATTTTCACCTGTCAGCAAATTGTTTGCTTTTTTTCTTTTGATGAAAACAAAACGAAAAGTTTCAATTTGCTGCTTAAAAAACAAATAAAAAAACAACAAAACAAAATATCGTGTAAAACAACAAAACTTAATATAAAAATTAGGATTGTTCGTGGGTCGGTTTGGATCGATTTGAATATAATAATCGAACTAAATCTAAAATAGTGGTTTGAAAAAAAAAATTAAATCCAAGCCAAATCATAAAAAATTCAAATTAAATTAAATCTTTAGTGGCAGTTTGATTTGGTTCGCTTTGACAGTTCGTACGGTTTGAAATAAGAAAAATTTAAACTTGCTCATTCAGAAAAATTTAAACTTGCTCATTCATCTAGTTAACAAAAAAAAAAAAAAAAAATTAAGTTTCGCTTGACAGTTTCGTACGGTTTGAAATAAGAAAAATTTAACAACTTCGCTCCATTCAGAAAAAATTTTCAACTTGCTCATTCATTCTAGTTTAACAAAAAAAAAAAAAAAAAAATTACACAATTATACGTGAAATACCCCGAATTTTTTAATTTTCAAAAACATTTTCCAATTTTAATTTAACACGAACGACCAGCCTGGAAAATTGGCTATTAATATTTTAGTGCGAATAACTATGAGAAATCGAATCGGAAAACCGATTTGAAAAAGCCGAAAACCGGTTGAAAATCGAAGAATTTTGGCCGAATCGAACCGAATCGAAACCGGTTCGCCCAAACCATCTAGAAACATCCTTTCCTCTTTATCTTCAACGCCTTCTCCTTCACTCTCTAAACCATTTCTATGCAACCTCCAAGCCCACCACCGCACCACCACAACCTCCCTCTCTTCTTCTTTTTCTTCTTCTTTTTTCTTCTTTTTCTTTCTTTCCTTTTTCTTTCCTTTCTTTTCCCTTTTCTTCTTCCCTGCAACTGGGTCTGCGTCCTTAGCCAGCTTAGTTAATTAATTTAATTTTATTAATGATAGTTAATTAAATTTAGTTAGTTTAATTTTAATAATTTTAGTTGATTTAGTTAATGTTAATAATATTAGTTAATTAACTTAAGTTTATTATTTGTAGTTAATTAATTTAGTAATATTAGTTAATGAAATAAAATTTTATTATTTGCAATTAATGAGTTTAGTTAAGTTTAGTTAAGTTAGTTTTAGTGAATGAAATTAGTTAATTGTAGTTAATTTATTTAGTTAAGTTAGTGTTAGTAATATTAGTTAATTAAATTAATTTTAGTATTTGTAGTTAATTAATTTAGTAGTAGTAGTTAATGAAATTAATTTTATTATTTGTAGTCAATTAGTTTAGTTAAGTTAGTGTTAGTAATATTAGTTAATTAAATTAATTTTATTTGTAGTTAATTAATTTGGTTAATTTAATTTGGTCATTGTGAATAGTTAATAGCTTTATAATATTAGTGTTGATATAATTAAGGTAGTTTTAAAATAATGTTATTGTAATGTATAAATTGGATTGTGTGGTGATGTTGAGATTGAAGGAGGATGGGAAAATGTTATTTGATTAATTGCCCGATGGATGGGCTTTGATTAATTGCCCGATGATGGGCGTATGGATTGAATAATTGTGAATTGTTGAATATTTTAGCAGGTAGATAGTCTAAATTTAAGGGGAGATGCTGCCGAAATTTCGGTAGAAATAAATTAATTATAGAAATTAATTAACTATAGAGATTAAATATTTATAGAAATTAAAAAATATAGAATAAAGATTATTAGAGTGTATAAATAAATAAGGAAACCCAATATCTGTATCTATAAATAATATATATATAAGTTTAAAATTAATAAATAAGATAAATAGCTATAGAGCCTCAAAAAGTGGTAACGAATGCAAAGTATATTTATGAGGTTAGGATTTTTATACAGGATTTTCTTTCTAGATGTGTATGAGCTCTGGGATGGTGAGACAAAAGCTAGAAGGATGCAGTACTAGAGATAGTCCTTTAGAGGGCAATAAAGAACTGTGAGTAGTGTTAGATAATTCGCCTCATCCGCCTGCATTCATGCATTCTCAGCTAAATGTTATCATGCATTATTTTATTGAATTGCCATATTATGATGCACTATTTGTTGATAGTAAAAATTGTTTGATTACTTGTGCTATTACTTTGCTATGAAATATACTGTGCCTTGTTTGTGTGGAATTGGATGAAGTGGACCACCATTGGGTTTGTGAGGACGTGGTCTGTGGATATGGATCCTGAATATGATATGATATTGACCGTCGGCCGGAAATGGGAGAATCGGCGCCGCCCGTGTGCACCTGATGATAATGGATTGTAATGGAAACCACAGATGGCTTTCTTTGTTGTTGCGCACCTGATAAGATTTTGATTTGTAGCCCGGCAGGGTGGCCTCCTGTTGTGAGCAACTTGATGATCTAGATTGGATGGAGACCCCGGGTTGCCTCCTGTGGGTATGGAAAAGAAAAGAGAAGAATAGAAAAACAATGAGAGGAACTGGTCAAGTGAGGAATTAGACCAGTTTGGCCGTAATGGGGATCGGCTCCGGTTGCACATGTATGAGAGGGCGAGCCAATGTGTGAGGACGGCTCGTTGGGGTTTTGCACAGTGGTGCCACTGACTATTTTCCAACGTTGGATGTATTATAATGAAGGAGATGATACTTGTGATTGGCTGCTGTATTGCCCATTTGGTGTGACAACTGCATGATCATATAATTAAACGGTAACTAAAGATAAAAATATTTAGCTTTCTGTGTGATTGTGTGGGGTGAGAGGGTTAATCTAACCCTACTCATTGAGTTTGGCGCTCACCGCCTGCCTACTATTTTTTTTTTTTCAGGGTAATAGAAAAGAAATAAAAAGCTCTTGTGGGTTGAGAAACTTATTGTAGAAGATTTTAAATGATAAAATACCGATGTAAATTATAAAGGTAGAGTTCCGCAATTTGCTATTCCCCAGTTAATAAATAGTAAAAGTCCATATTAAATATATGAACTGCATTTTGAGTTAATGGGCCTGAATCTATAATTATGAATAGAAGGTGAGATTTAAATAAGTTATGCTTACTACGGGCTTCGGGGGCCTTAAGCCCACCCAGGTCCTAGTGCCGGTCCGGTCCATGGAAATGGGTCGTGACAACTTTCTTGGATCTGATAATCCTAAAACTCACATCAGCCCATTTCTCACCTTCTCTCTTCCGCTAGACATATCCTATGTTGGGATCGGCCGTAACCAACAAAGGAGCTGTAGTCGGGATTGAATTCCATTTTAGTGCCGATGGACGCATCGTGCATGAGGATGGAATATTTAATAAGTATGCTTCAATATAGTACAGAAATAATAGGGAATTATAAAAAGAGTCCGGGTAACTGACGTTTCTAAAATAAATACTTTGAGTTTTGCTAAATCCCCTCCATCTATTTTGAAGCAGATGATCAGTTGGAAATTGGTGTAATGGCCTGATCACCCAGTACACCATGATTTGACAGGAG